GGTCCCCAGAAACAAAGAGAGGGCGTCATTTGTCAACTTCAGTCTCTCTCCCTACTTCCTTCAGACAAGGTCAGAAATTTGGGGGTAATACTGGACTCAGACCTAAACTTCAATAGCCACATAAAATCAATAACATCAACAGCTTTTTACCATCTGAAGAACATTGCCAAAGTTAGAAATATAGTGTCCAGGGCAGACTTGGAGATTCTTGTCCATGCATTTGTCTCCAGTAGGCTAGACTACTGCAATGGCCTGCTTACAGGTCTGTCCAAACAGACCTGTAAGCAGCTGCAGTACATCCAAAATGCAGCAGCTAGAGTCCTGACAGGAACCAGGAAGTATGACCATATTAGTCCGGTCCTCAGGTCACTGCACTGGCTTCCTGTGGCTCAGAGAATAGATTTTTAAAACAGCTCTGCTTGTGTACAAGTCTCTCCATGGCCTTGCACCAAAATACATTAGTGACATGTTGGTGTCATATGAACCAGCCCGGACTCTGAGGAGCACAGGGACTGGCCTCCTGCTGGTGCCCAGAGTGAGAACCAAACATGGGGAGGCTGCGTTTCAGATCCATGCAGCTAAGATCTGGAACAATCTCCCTGAAAATGTGAGGGAGGCGTCTACTCTGTCAATGTTCAAATCCAGGTTAAAGACTGTTCTGTTTGCCTGTGCATACAACTGAAGGATTTTATCTGCATTTCTAATGCACTGTTGTCATTTATTTTTTATTTTTTTATTTATTTTTTTTTTTTTACATTTCTTGTGTAATTTTGAAAGTTTTAATGGTTTTATTCTTTTGTGTGATTTTAATGTTTTAATTGTGTTTTAATCTTTTGTGTGATTTTAATGTTTTAATTGTGTTTTAATCTTTTGTGTGATTCTAATGTTTTAATTGTGATTCTGGTGTTTGTTTTATGTGATGATTTGTGATGTGGACTGTGAAGCGCTTTGTGTTGCCCTGTGTATGAAAGGCGCTCTACAAATAAACTTTGATTGATTGATTGATTACACACACGCACGCGCACGTACGCACACGAGCAGACACGCGCACACACATGCAATCTGTCTGAGCAGAGAGAGGTGTGCTCTGCTCAGACAGATTTATTGTAATGTCATCAACATGATAATGACAGAAATTGACTCGTACAGTACTAAAGGGCTGGACTCGACTCTCCCCGGTTTGCGGGCGCTTCCACCGCTCGCTTCAACCGCTCCCCGGTACTTTTTATTAATGGTTTGGCCCTGGTTCTAACCGGGCGAGTCGATACCAGAACAATCTCACGTCAGCGAACATCAATTATGATTCCGAAATTAATGCTTTCAATCTCTAACCAAGAAAATAAATCAAGTTTCAACCCAGTGTTCAGCAGAAACACAACTGTCTTTATCGAACCATGATTCACTCTCTGACTGCGTTTAGTAAAATATATGGATTTGACACATAACACCAACACCACTTTAGCTGATTTAGAACCACAGACACATGCTCAGCATAAGACCAGATACTTTTGCATTTGATCGAAGACAGACACTCACCAGGCAGAGTTGGCTTATCTCCTGGTGTAACGCTAGCTGGTGTTAGCTGGTTTTAGCATGTTAGCCGGTGTTAGCCGATGTCCGTAAATGTAATCCATTTGGTCAAACCACCTCCAGACTTTTCGGTTCTGCCTCTACTTCTGCTGCTGTGATCTTTCATTTCACGGTTGTCACTTTTAAGCTTTTTAACTTTTCTCTGCATTGTCATTTTTGTGGGAATCATTCTGCTCTGTCCTTAGCGCTAGCTCCACAAACACCTTCTGGTTTCTGGTGGAACCATCGAGCTCACGCTGGTGTCCTCTCCTCAAACTGAGGAAGGTGTTGCCCTCATCCAGCGACCAAGGAATTGTTTAACGTACGGACGTCATGGGTCGAGGCAACGTGTTGTTTGTTTTGATATTTGCAACATCAAAACAAACAACACGCTGAGTGATTGACTTTAGTCAATCACTCAGCAGCTGCAGAGTGATTGACAGCGCATCTGACCAATCAGAATTGACTTTCGCCGACGTCAGATTGTTTTGGTGGCCTGGCTAGTGGAATGAAGTCGGCCTTTACTATGGGTCAGAACTACATAGAGAATGAATGGCAGCGCCACCACCGAGGCGTTTTTGACGCTTGTCGTGTGAAAGCCCGAGAGCAGCACGGAACCAGCCAAAGAGCCGCATGCGGCTCACGAGCCGGGGGTTGGCCACTCCTGCCCTAGAGCATCAGCATCTGGAGATATAGGTTCCCTGTGCTCTTGACAGAGGCACCAATGGAATTGAATGATGGGTGCAATGCGGAAGACATATTTTCCAACAAACACAATAAAGTATACAACTTTTCTATAAATCTGATCTAAAGATGTGAGGCCACAGTATATATGTAAGTGAAAGCAAGTGATGGACCCAAACTGTCTAGAGTAAGGCATTTGGTTTTCATTGTATAGTTTTATTTGTTATATGTTGTTTATTTTTAGTGAGATAATCCCCCCCTTAAAGATGAAGTCATGTGAGGATACTGTAGGATTTATTTATTTATTACTGGGACAGTGCATATTAATGAACATTTCTGTAAATATGCCAGAATTAGCCAAACGGTTATTTTTCATCCGTAGTCCCATGTCTCCTGAAAAGATAAAAACATGTTTGCTACACAGTTAAAATAATGTGAGATATTTACAATATTTACAAGGACAAGACAGTAAAACCTTCAGTCACACGTCGTTCAACAAACAACAACAACAAGGATGAAGTATATCAGTGACTGTACAATAAATTACAACACTGTAAAAGATCAGCGCGCTCTGTCTGTTCCACGTGCCCCCTGCTGGTCACACAGAGCACGTGACTTTGCACTGGACAAGATTTAAAGCCGAACAGCGTCATCTACTGGACAGACTTCAGTATGCTTTAAATATGGAGAGCGATAATATTTAAAACTGGTTCCAGAAAGGGCCAGTGTGGTTGCAGGTTTTAGTTCCAAATGTTCCAACCTAAGAAAGAAAGTCAGTGTGCTTCTGGCGTGGCCCCTTTGACGACTGGTCTATAACTACAACCTAATTCATTTATTTAAAAAAGTAATACGCATTGAAACCTACGGAAGCTTGTTAGGTTCATTTGTGAGTGTTTTTTCGCTGGTATCATGTTATTTCATGATACTTTCATGAAATAACATGATAAATATCATGTTATTTCATGATACCAATTTATCATGTTATTTCATGATACACAACTATCATGTTATTTCATGATCCAAATGTATCATGTTATTTCATGCTTCTTTCATGCTTCTTCTGATAAATTGGTATCATGAAATAACATGATAGTTGTGTATCATGAAATAACATGATAGTTGTGTATCATGAAATAACATGATAGTTGTGTATCATGAAATAACATGATATTTATCATGTTATTTCATGAAAGTATCATGAAATAACATGATACCTGCGGGAAAAAAACACACTCACAAGTGAACCTAACAAGCTTCCGTAGAAACCCACCTCATCTTGCGTGTGATGACATAATCTACTAGAAAAAACAGTATTAAAGTGATTTAAAAATGGCTTCCACTTCATTATTATTCCTTGAAAAAATGTTCATGTTTGTCCTGGCAAAGTCTAAACATGGTCAGATTCCATACATATACAGTTGCTTGTAGTTTGCTACAAATATACATCATTTGTTTTGTTCTATTTACAAAAAAGGCATTTTAATCATGTGATACACTTTGACACAAAAATACTGTACTACAAATCAATGTGAAGGAATTCCCAATAATCTAAATAAAGTCCTCTGATTAAACCATATAGTGTTGATACATTAGCATATACACTTTGAGGCCACGTTGTCTGTGAAGATTCAACCCAGATTTAAAAACCTGTATGAGTTTTATTATATACAGCTTATACCCCGCTCCCATCTCTGTGTGGAGTGAGAGGCCAATGCCCAAAAAAAGAACAATTGTAAACCGCTTTGTGACTCTGGTCTGTGAAAGGCGGTATATAAATAAAGATTACTTACTTACTTACTTATTTGGATCGTTCGCGCGCTTTGATTGGCTGATTTGCGGTCTGATATTTTCCCATCTCGGACCGTTACCATGACAATTGGTCCGCAGCGCGTATCAAATTTGATATCTTTCCTCTGTAACAAATAATGAGCGACGACTGGGAGCATTCTCCAGTGAATTCTATTATCCGGATGAGTTCGAAGAGGAAGAGGAAGTCAAAACGACAAAAACACAACTCCTAACAGCCAAGAAGAGATTGACAACTTCGTTACAGACCAGAAAGGTAGACACACGATTAGGAAAACCAATATCAAATATCTAAAAAGCATCGGTGAAGACACAGAAGAGATTGAGAACTTACCAGCGGGCGACCTCAATCATCTGATGAGCAAGTTCTTCATGTTACTATTTGACCGTTTGGTTGCATGTGTTTTTTCTAGTTGGAACCTAATTATTATAGCTAGATCCATGGTTGAAACCGATCGATATTTGCATAAATAAAAAATAGTCATATAATAAAACATTTAAGCCGTTATTATTTCGAACACAAATGGCCCACGCATATGTACCTAATGTCTCCATGTTTGATGCTTTCTATAGATCCATGGTTTGATGAAGTTGGAAAAGTTGCTGTATCGCGGCGAAGGGTGCTTTGTGCCATCCCTACACTAGGGGGCAGCCGCGCTCAGGGACTTCATCTCCACGAGACCGTCTGCTCTTTCCTGTGATATAAATAGCAACGAGTGCACTACGTTTAGTATCCATTTTACGCGAAGTCATCTGGTGTCGGACGTGTCAGGACGTAACCCCCGAGTTTCTCGACTTTAACAGACATTCTCTCACTGAGCCTTTTTTCTGCCAGATCATTTTTTACATCGCATCGTTCCTGTGGTCAACATTTTTGACAGAATAGACACTTTTTTTTTATGAAGTCTCCCACTATTTCCAAACTTCTCCTGCGGACCGTGATGTGTCGTAAAGCAATGGATTTAAAGCCTAAACACCACTTTAAATCCGAACTCCGCAGAATCGTGGGTCCCAGGCTTGGTTTGAGGCTGCTCCGTGTCGCCGTGGAGCAGGATACGGGCCTTACGCACTGGAGAAGCAGCCTCTTGGTCAACTCAACCGCGCTCAAAAAATACCTCTACAAAGCCAAGAAGCGGGCGCATTTGGCAAAACTGGCCAAACATGTGAGCGAGGGCGAGAACATGGAGGAAATGCCATCGGTGAGACGTGAAGACGACGTGTCCCAGCTACAGCCAGCGGGAGCAATGGCGCCGAGGAACACGACGCAGTATCTCATGGGCAAAGTTTATGAAGATATGGGTGTTTTGAGCTTCCCTACAGACATGCAGCAAAGTGAGCCACACATCCCAACACTGAACATAGACAGTTCGTGGGAAACCAGTTACGATGAATGTATTTCCTTCCAGCAACGAGATTTCGACGCACAATACGGCGCGCTGTGGTAGAATCCAGACCATCGTGCGTAATGGTCCGTGTGTGACCCGCGGCGGAACTATGACTGAAAATGCCAAAAAGGTGTGATTTGTTATGTTGAACTGTTTGCGTTATTTCCTGTTGTGTAGATGCGTCGTGTTTGATATGAGATGTCGTAACTGTGTGTTTCATGGTTCTGGGCTTTTTGTCTACAGCGTCTCGTCCTCTATAGGGGGCGCCACTGAGACACACCTCGCCTGCCCACTGTCCCAAAGGAGTCAGTAGGCGCCTCGATTGGATGTGAGAATGCAGGTAAAACTGGTGAATTGCGTTGAAAACTGCAGAAGATTGAAACAAAAGACAATGCTGGTACATGGGCTCTTTGTCTGCAGCCTTCCATACGAGCTATAGGGGGCGCCACTGAGCCGCACCACAGCTTGCCTTGAGGAGTCGGAAAAAACGCCTGGTTCGGAACGTGTGAAAGCACAGGTAATTCCGGTAAATGGCGTTATAAAGACAACGGTGATACAAAGTGGTGTGCAAAGTGTATTCCGCTTTCACTGTTGTCTGAGCCTTTTCCAGGTCAACGTCGCCATGACAACCGGGATACGCCTGCCCTTTCATCCAGAGGCATTTGTCAATCACGTGGCTGACCAAAGGTGACTTTTGTGTTCCCTATGTTGAAGTGAACAGACATAAAAGATTACTGAGTGTGTAATTAATATTGATCTTATAATGAATTTGTTGAATTGTGGGGGGTTTTAATAAATGCGCTTGTATTAAAATGAGTTGTATGTTTTTTATATAAGGTTCTGAATGACTTTATTATCCTGCCCTAATATTAATATACTTTTACACTAGACATTTAGAAATTTTGAAGCACTTAGAGCTACCTATGAAACACGGCAGCTACACATTGTAGATAGTGTGTGCCCTTACTACTGCCCTGCATAGAACAGATTTGTCCTGTATGCACTGCCACAGGTTTCTCATGAAGGTTAAGATTAGACTTGTGTAATTCATTAACTTGTAACCTTGTCCTATTCTTAAAAAAAAAACTTGTAATGAGACAGAACTATAACATGTTAATTTGTTTGGAGGCGAAGCTAAAATTCAGCTACACCCATGTGAGCGCAAGTCTAACCAATCTCCCATCTTCAATGTGATCTTACATCATGTGTACAATGGAAAATGGTTTGACACCAGGACTTTTGCTGGAGATGGAGAATTCTAGACTTTCTAGAGAATCTTTATATAAACTTAACTTATGGATCATAAAGGAACAGACAAATAGGGTTCTATTCAAGACTTTTATTTTGATTACGACTCAAAGGTGACTTTAAAAACTTACGTTCAAAAGATATTTTCAACTAGCAGTGACTGATTCATTACTCTCAAGCTTATCAAACTTGTGATAGTTGGCTCAGCTTGTTGAAACAACTCTGCAACTATTTTGAAAATGGTGGCATATGCTGTGTGTTGCATGTAATGAGTATTAATTTTGCATTGTGCGTTTAATTACAGAAATAACTTTCAAATATATTCTGCCATGCACATATAATTAACAATGTAGAATCAGGTGTGTATTTATGCTATCCCATGGGGATGAACATTCACACCCACAGGATACAGAATAAACAGTTTTAAATGGGGTTGTATAAAGCAGACGCTACATTTGTAGTAGTAGCGGTCATGACTACAACCCGCTGTCGTTCCTGGTCCCACCACAGGGAGGCAGCATTGTACTATAAATGCCATAGGCTTTTCATATGAACTAGAGAGATCTAATATATAACAAGGTTAATTATTGTTACAAGACATCAAATTTTACAATATTCACACTATAAAAAGAATCAAACAAATGTGACTTAACTTTGGATTGTTGGCCGTCTTTATGTCTTCTCTATATGAAATAAGACAATAACTAATTGCATAGTATTTGAAAAAGGGAAGTAACCAGAGGTTAGATGAACCAAAACTTTACAAATTAATTGTCCAGGGATGCCATATATATAGTCACTGAGGACCCCAAAGCCACCAGAGGGCCTCCAATGGGCTCTATGCCATGGATCTATTATAATAACTATGCACGCACCACTTCCGCGTTTTAGCTACAACCCCACTTCACTTCCTGTTCGCGGGAAATGGCTTGAGTTTCACTGGAGTTCAGCAGTGGTTTACACGAGTTTCCCAAATAATGCTCAAACGGGAATTAAACTGTGAGGATACTGGGCATTTTTGGGACACAGCAGTGACTTTGATTGTGCTGTCATTGTGTTTTTAAAAAGTTTACAAATCTCTCTGAGTGGCCACAGTCGAAGCTCTACCTCAGAGGGAAAGCACAGCGAAACTTTTGGGTCAGTCTCACAGCTGAATGTATCAATCTAATTACTAAAAAACGTCACTAAAAGCCATAGGATTGCATAGACAGGAAGTGAACGGGCTGTGCTTTGTTAACAAGAAATGACATCACGCCTCCCCGTGCATATAGCCCATAACATAAATGAGTGGACTCTTACAAGTACCTGGGTGCTCATCTGAACCACAAACTGGACTGGACTCATAACACAGACGCCCTCTTCAAGAAGGGCCAGAGCCGGCTCTACCTGCTGAGGAGGCTCAGGTCTTTTGGCCACTCCTGAAGACCTTCTATGACTCTGTGGTGACATCAGCCATCTTGTACGGTGTGGTCTGCTGGAACAGCAGCATCACAGAGAGGGACAGAAAGAAGCTGGACAAGGTCGTCAGGAAGTCCAGCTCAGTCCTGGGCTGTTCCCTGGACACAGTGCAGCAGGTGGGGGACATCTACACTGGACCATGACTGTCACCCCCTGCAGGACACTGTCTGCTCTGGAGAGCAGTTTCAGTGACATACTAATTCATCCTCGCTGGGTGAAGGAGAGGTACTTCCTCCCTGCTGCCGCTAATAATTTGTAAGTAATTTAGTCACTATAGCCACTTTACCTGTTATTGCTCATATTCTCCGCTGCTAAAGTACAATATACACATCTGTAAATACTTTGAACCAAGTCCAATTATAGCTCCAGAGTTTCTTTTATTTTATTCCATTTTACCATCGTATTATCTTTATTATTATTTTAATTCTATTGTTATTATCTTGAATAATAGACTGTTTGATTTGTGCTATCTGAGTGCACTTTTTTCCTTCTTTCTCTGCTTTAATGTGCCCACTGTGGGACGAATAAAGGAATATCAGATTCAGATCAGATTAATTTATTTGCCATTTGCAGTAAAACCACATTGGAATACATTTGTAAAAGTCTCCAGTGTGCACAAGACAAGAACATACAAAAAACAGCAATAAAAGTACAGAAATAAAACAGTAAACAATTGTCACTGTGAAATCAATTGACTAAAACAGTTTCAATACAAGTGCAAGATCAAGTGCTCGGTTCTTGTGGGAAGAAGCTTGCCTTGGAGGGCAATCAGAGCTGCCAACCAAGTCTCAAAGCACCAGTCCCTCACTGATCCTCCTGCAGGTGGTGAGTCCACAGGAAGATGGATTCTTCGTCATCGAAGACATGGCCTTGGTCTTTCAGCGGGGGCTTCAGGCAATGTGGGGTAAAGTGTCTTCTCCAGGGACACAACGACAGAAGACATCAATGGGAGCAGATGACATGGGTTGTGGTGGGATCTAAACCCAGGACCATTAGGTCAAAAGACCAGTGCTCTATAACAGTGTTTCTCAAACTCTGTCCCCTCTAGGGGTACGCCAAAGAATCACTGTAAAAAAAATAAAAATAAAATAAAAAGACATATATATATATATTTTTTTAATTTAATCTGGAAAGTCTCATTGAGATTAACTAATTGACAGCCATTGATGCCAATTGACATCAACATTATTTTTCAACTTTCTTGTCCTCTGTGTCCCCTGTATCATAGGTTTGGCTGTAGACAGTATTTTATTAAGCCAGCAGGTGGCAGCAGAGCTCCCTGGCTTGGTCAAAGTTCACTGCCTGAGCACTCTGAGCAGGAGAGACAGAGGTGAAGCAGACATGGAGTGATAGTCAGGGTCAGGCTACATTTGGAGGCCGTTTGAGCAGTAAATGTGTAAATCCAGACCATGTGGAGAGTCAGGGCAGCAGACCATGTGGAGGGTCAGAGCAGCAGACCAGCGGTGCACCCCAAAAAAGCCACAGAAAAGTGGACTATTGCTAAAACTGGATGAATACTGGCCATTCTTTCTGCCATAGTTTGTCATGGGCTCTACTTTCAATATGTACATTTTGACATTTTTTGGATGAGTACATTTTGAAACATTCGAGCAACACTTTGTGGATGTAGGTGTGTGTGCAATAAAACTATTTTACATTAAAAACACTTTCTCATAATGTGTTGTTGCTGTTTTCTAACATGTAAGATCCTGGACATGTTGAAGGAGATGCTAAAGTTAAACTAAATAGTGTTACAGTCACTTTTCTGCAGGTTCGTCTGTTTTCATTTTCTCAGCTTTTTGTCTAAGACTGGTGCTTTTTGTCCCCTCTTTTCAACTGGAGATCACAGGAGAACGAAACAAGCTAAAAACAAACCTATTTTTGCTGCTGAAAGTAGACAGTCCTGTCTTTCAGACTCTGGTTTCATATTATTCATAGTCATAGCACACAATATTCTGTGAGTCTTGAAAATCAGTGAAGTCATCAACAATGGCTGGCAGTCAATGAGAACCTCTTTTTCAATGGAGTCGTGGACAAAAAATACATAAAATCACAGATTATAAAACAGTCACATACAGATTATACAACATTAACACACAATTTCATAAAATCACGGATTATAAAACAGTCACATACAGATTATACAACAGTAACACACAATTTCATAAAATTACGGATTATAAAACAGTCACATACAGATTATACAACAGTAACACACAATTTCATAAAATTACGGATTATAAAAAGAGTTACATTTCAATGAGGATGTTTCAAGTTTCTCAATCTGGATCTAAAAGCATTCAATGAAATAAGTTCAGATAATTTCCAGTCTTTTTGCAACACGTTCCATGTAGAAGGAGCAGCATGTACAAAAGCACAGAACAGAGAGCAACAAAAGATCATTTGATCCAAACCATAAGAACATGTCTCTGTGAGTAAACGGCAGATGTAAGAGGGCAGCAGACCAAGCCTTAGAAACTAAAGTGGACCAGTGTCCAAACCTTCTGTGGACAAAGATCCCACTCCAGAATATCATTCACAGTCAGGCTTTGCAGTTCGCAATGAAT